TGCATTTCCAACCCTTTTTTCAAAGTCAGTATCTAAACTGATAATCAGCTTACATCTTCTTCTTTAGAAAATTTAGTTCTTCCAATTGTTTTCATTTGTTACCAAAGCTAAAGCAACGAAATCATGTGTATTTAAAGAGCAGAGACATAAGCACAGTATACTACATAGAGCACACCTTACTATGCTACTGTAAACTAGTTACAACTCTACCATGCTAATAAGGATGTCTCATTTCTCTAACCTCCTTGATCCTATTTATCATTTACTTAAAATCAATTTCAAATTGCTACTCATTGCTTATACTTTCTCTCTCAACCAAAGGGCAGGAATCTGTGTTTTACTAGGTCTTTGTATTCCCTACTAGCTGATAGTAGAGCAAATATTGGGCCATGGTGAGTGAAACATATAGAAAGAGTACTGAGCTTTGAGTTGAATCACCTGTGTTCATCTCTTGGCAATCTGCTGATTAGTTGTGTGTCTTTGGGCAGGTCAACTGGCCTCTCTAAGCCTGTTTCCTCATCTATAAAATAAAAGCAATAGCACCCACCTTCTGGGGCCACTGTGAATACAATAAGATGATGTGTATAAAAGGAAAGCATTGAAAAAATCACAAGAGATATTGTCATCCTGATAAATACAAATCAATTGAATATTTCATTTATGTCTGTTACGGGGATCAAAAAAAGACCTAAATATACCATAACTTTCAGTGGCTATTTATATTTGAAGTTAATAGAACAAGTTACATTGGTCTGTGAAAAGTTATTGCTCATTCCCTTAATGTTAAAATAGAAAATCATTCAATGTTAGCAATTATAGTGTTGTCATATTTTATCATATGATTATTCCTATTTTTAATAAATATTTTAGCTTTAAAGCCTAGTTTGCATAATACTACATTAGGAATAATATAATTGAGGCACTAAAATTATATGGAAACAACCCAACCACAGGTTATGTCAGATATAATGTTCTGAAGCTTCAATTAACATATATAAACACTGTAACCCTCATTAATTAAATGTATCTCAGGAGACAGTATTTTTGTGTATGTAATTGAGAAAATAATAGCAAACAAAAGAGTATGAATATGAAGAAAAAAAAGAAATTTCACATTGTAGTCTTTAAAGACTTCTGTAGGCATAAACAGGGCAACTTTGAGATGTTATGTTTCTCTAGAATTAAAGGTACAATAGAAAGAATATGTTATATTTGCACAAGAATAAAAAGTTATTCTGAAAGGTCATCTTGCAAGATCATGGTTCTATGTGGTGTGTGGAAGAGGCAATGTTCTGAAAATCCACTGGGAGAAGCAAATTCATAAATATTAATAAATGGAAGCATCATTATAGATAATAAAATATGAAGCAGCATGCAAGTTTGAATGGTTTTTATTGTTACAATATGTGGTTGATGTTTGGGTAAAGTAATCTATTTGTGAACTGGAGGCATGCATATTTATTTATACAGTTCTTCTTATGGAAAACTTCGTTCTTGAACTTTTCTGAAATTTGCAAAATCACAAGTTCTGAAACCTATGCTAATCAAGCAAGTTTTTTTCTTTTTTATTACCTATTTTTTAACCTGCAAGACCCTCACCATTTCTCACCTAGTTTTTGCACTGATTTCTTTATAGGGACCTGCTTCTTATCTCAATCCCTCCAAACTTTCCTTCATATTACTGCTCGAAAGATCTTTCTGCAGTACTGGTATGGTCATGTCACACAGGCTCCGAACATTACAGAAGACTCCCCACTATATAAGAACTACAATAAGCTACTTTTGTGGTGTTCAACATCCATAAAAATCTAGCAGTTACTACATTTCACCTTCACAAATATTATTTTTAGCAATATCAAGGTATTTGTGAGTCCTCTACATGGATGCTCTCACATACCTCCTCATCTTTGCACTTGCAATTTCTATATTATTATAATTTAATGGATATATCTCTTGGAATGCCATTCTCAGGCTTTTGTGGCTTGACAAGTTCCTAACCATGATTCACTTGTCAACTTTGCAAGCCTTTTCTGACTCACCAAGTAAGCTCACACAGAAAGGCAAGTACATCTTTATGCTTCTATTTCATTTTTCAATTTTATGCTTCTATTTCATATTTCAACATACATTCCTCGTAGTCCTTATTACACTGCACCTTGATTTGGAATCCTTTGCTTATAGCTCTTTCCCACTAGTCAGTAAGGTCCCTGAGGACAAAGACATTTCCTCATCTCCATATCCTCAATAATCACACAGTGCTTGGCACAAAGTAAGTATTCAATGGATATTTGTTGATTGGAAAGATCTCCTTTAATGTGCCTATTGATCAGTAACTTATTTTCCTATCCTAATCAATGGCCATAACGTTTCAGTTAAGCAAGATAAATAAGTTCTAGAGATCTACTATACAACATTGTACCTATAGGCAACAATTCTGTGTTGTACACTTAAAATTTTGTTAAGAGGATAGATCTCATGCTAAGTGTTCTTACCACAATCAAAAAAAAAAAAAAATCAAGATACTCAAGGAGCTGCCTGCTTGACTGGCTAAACCAGCAATCAGAAATATTGATTAGTTAAGAGAAGGCAACCAGTAAGACTTATACAACTAGATGGTGCCTTGGAGGTTACCTGATTCAATTCTTCTCCCTTACTCCCAGCATCCTGGACAGATGGATGGAGGGATAGATACACACACACACACACACTGTACATTTCAGAACACGTAAAATAAAATCTGTCCAGGACAAGAATCTATATTTCTTTATAATACACTGTCTTTCAAAAGGTGAAAATCTCCAACAATCTATTTCTCAGATCTTTTCCCTTCTTTCCATTTCTTCTGGCAGCACATTCGTGAAACCTTTGCCTTCTGACTGGTGTCACTGGAAGATTTGTAAAGCATGATGTTGATGTTTTTTCCTCCTCTGCTCAAAAATCTTCAGTGTCTCCCTGTTTCTTTTTTTTTTTTTTTTTTTTTAGTGTTTTATTTTTGAGAGAAAGAGAGAGAGAGAGAAAGTGAGCAGAGGAGGGGCAGAGAAAGAGGGAGACACAGAATCCGAAGCAGGTTCCAGGCTCTGAGCTGTCAGCACAGAGCCTGACACGGGGCTCAAACCCATGAAACATAAGATCATGACCAGAGCCAAAGTCAGATGCTTAACTAACTGAGCCACCCAGGTGCCCCAGTATCCCCTATTTCTTATAAAATAAAGAATAAAACCTTTAGCCCAGCATTCAAGGCCCTCAACCATTTGATTCTTTTTAGAAATTCTATTTCCCTTTAATGTAACGCTTTATCTAAATAAACTCAACTATTCATTCTTCTTTGAATGCATAACCTGGGCTTTCTTGCCTCAATCCTTTGCTTGGGTTGGTCCTTCTTTCTTGTACCTCTATCCTGAATATCCACATCTAATATCATTCAAGGCCCAGTTTGCCAGTGAAATCTTCCAGAGCCCTACCAACTAGGAGTCACCTTTCTCTCAGTTCTCTTCCACATTTTGTTATAACTACCTATGTAAAGTTCATGTCTTCCTACTAAACTGTAAGCTTCATAGGAGAAGGAACACATCTGATTCCTCTCTTTACTGCCTCCATAGTCGCTTGCCCTTAAGTACATGTTAAACTAGTAAATCAATGATATATACAAATAATGCATATTTTAAATGTATATTCTTTAAATCTATCAATAATGATAATTATACTTTCAGTGTTTAAAAAAACACAATGACTATGGGATGGCTGCTTTTAAAAAATTATTTCCAATTTTTCAATTATTTTTCTTATATAACAAATGCAGAACTTCCTAAAAACTTTCCTTCCAACCTCTGTTCTAAAACACTGATTTTATAAGTACCTAAACTTTGTTCTAGTCTTTCATAGAAGGATACTTTGGGAAGAAAGGATCTTGAGACATCATCTCTTCTCATCTCTCCCCTCCCAACCCATATAGAAAGTATCTCAGGAAAACAAGCACTTATCCTATTTTAAGACTCTTCTAAGATAAACTGCACAGAATTCCAGGAAATTTATTGCAATGTCTCTTAACCCTTTCTGTCGCAGTATTCCTCCATAATAAGTTCAACTCATACTATTATTTCATTTGGTCTCTTGAGAGACATGTAGCATAGTGGCTTAGACACACAGCTTCTGAAGTCAGACTTCCTGTCTGTCTCTGGGAAAGTTATTAACCACTCTCTGTGTCAGTCTCCTTATCGATAAATTTTGAATAATAATGGTACTTATTTCATAAGACTTTGCAAGATTCTGATGAAATCATGTATGTAAATTATTTAGAACAGTGTCTAAAACCTAATGATATGATATATAAATTAAATGATATATAAATGTTGTTATTAATAATTCTTTTTATTTTGCTTTGAATAGAGATGGATAATAGTTTGAGCCACAGTCTTTCAAACATGAAGATTTTGAACAAGTGAATCTTTTTTTCGACTGAATAATCCCAACACCTTTATGCTATGTTTTTCTATCTAATTTTCCAAACTTCTAAAAATTCCTCCTTTGGCCCTTAATCTTAGTATAGGGCAAAGAGTATTTTTAGTATTTTGCTACTACAAGGACATGTGAAGCAACCCTCTAAAAGCCTCATCTAAGGGCACCTGAGTGGCTCAATCGGTTAAGCGTAAGACTTGAGCTCAGACTTCAGCTCAGGTCATGATCTCACTGTTCATGAGTGTGAGCCCCACATCAGGCTCTGTGCTAACAGCCCAGAGCCTGGAGCTTTCTTCAGATTCTGTGACTCCCTCTCTCTCCACCCTTGCCCCACTCACACTCTATCTGTCTCTCTCTCAAAAATAAATCAATATTAAAAAAATTAAAAACAAAAAGCCTCATCTATTTAACACATATCTTTTTAGAGTCATTCACCATACTAGTCACAATGTGAATGTAACTTTGCATAAGATAGGTAAGAAGCCTGCCTTCATGGAATGCTTACTTGCAGGAGCAAACTCTTTACCATTAACCAAATCACATACCACTCCTCCGAATTCTTTCTTCCAATAGGTCAGCATGTCCAGCTGGAAGCTTCTTATTGAAAATCTCAGCTGAACGGAGGAACATAGCTTCTACTGCAGACCCTTTCAGCAAAGCAATTTGATCTTCATGGTCCAAAGTCTGAAATCCTGGATGAAGATGATAATCAAATCAAACCAATCAAATCAAGGAACTGTGAATGCTATATAACAATATTTCATCATCATTATCATCCCCATTGATAAAACATTTCCATAAAGTTATTTTGTAATTGTTTTAAGATTGGGTAGTCAGATTGAGTCACTAAAAATTGATTTTTCTGTCCCAAATAGAAGCTGACTTTTATCTTATTGAGTAGGATTTGTTGTACAAGTTGGGTAAAAAAGAATGTCCTATCCACACCAAAAATACATATAATGGCAGTAAAGGCTGATTCAGATGAAGGAACTCAGAAGTTAGAAGCAAACAGATTCTCTTTTAGCCATTATATTAGTCACATCTGGTGATACAGGGTCAACTCTGAAGAATGGAAGCATCCACAGACCAGAAAAAAATCTTTACATGTATCCAGCCATGGGAAGGAATTGACAACCTGAAGGAATTGACAACCTGAAGGAATATAACACCACTTGGAAAATCCAAAGTCCTTATCCAGGCTTGTATGCCACAGTCTCCAGCAGCCTCTCTGACATCATTTCCTCCTCTTCCTTTCTCTCACTCACTGTGTTCCAGCCACACTGACTCATGGCCCTGCTGTGAACATACAAGTTTGCTTTGCCTCAGGAGTAAATGCCCTTCCCCAGCTATCCAAATGCTTTACTCCCCCAACTATATGCAGAGACCCTATATTCAAGGTGACCCTACTAAAATACTACTACTCCCCATAACTCACTAGCCCCTATCTGCTTTATTTTTTTAATGTTTATTTATTTATTTTTGACAGAAAGTGTGTGATCAGGGGAGGGGTAGAGAGGGAGACAGAGAATCTGAAGCAGAGTCCACACTGTTAGCACAGAGCCTGACACAAGGCTCAAACTCATGGACACAAGCTGAAGTCAGACACTTAACCAACTGAGCCACCCATTAACCCCACTAGTTGCTTTATTTTTACTCATAGAATTTACCACTACCTGACATAATAAATTTATCTGCATATTTATTCATCATTTGCCACCTCGAATAGAGTATAAACTTCATGAGGGCAGAGACTTTGCCTGTTTTGTTCACTTTTGTATCCCTAGTACCTGGCACATAATTGATATCCAAGACTTATTTGTTGAATAGTTGGATAACTGAATAAATGGGAAACAAACATAAGCTCCTATGCACATGTATACATACACATAACACACTTATGAAGATAAACTAATACCATCAGTGTCCAGATGGCTTAGAAAAGTATTAAATAGAAATGGGGTTTAGAGAAGAGAGTAATGTTAAGGTTTAAGAATCACTATCTTAGGGGTGCCTGGGTGGCCCAATCATTTTAGGCATCCCATTCTTGATTTTTGCCCAGGTCATTATCTCAGGGTTCATGAGATCAAGCCCCGCATCATTTGTTAGGCCCTACTGACAGCATGCAACCTGCTTGGGAAATTCTCCCCCCACCCCCTCTAACTAACTAACTAGATAGATAAATAAATAAATAAATAAATAAATAAATAAATAAACTTAAAAAAAAAAGAATCACTATCTCAGAGCTCCTTTGAAGGCAGAAGCCATTCCTGCAGGGTCTCCAGCACCCTGGACAGTGCCTGGCACAGGTCGTGCACCATGAACTACAAAATGAAATGATTCATCTCTTTAACCCACACCATTTCATTATTGGTATTATATCACTATTACTGTTATTTTTATTAATGTTGTCATTTCCATAATTATTGTTAAAATATTAATTTTAACTATATTACTAGTACTGTTAAAATTTCTTTCTCAGGAGTTTTGGTCTTTTATTTCCTATTGTATTTTTTTTTCCTTCTGTTTTCTCATTTTTAAAAGTTTATTTTTAAGTAATCTCTACAGCCAACATGGGGCTTGAAACTCACAACCCCAAGATCGAGTCACATGTTCTCCCAACTGAGCCAGCCAGGTCCCCCTGCTTGACTCATTAAACACACATTAATTATACTCTTTCTTCCCCCTCAGGAACTAGTCTAAGCACTGGAAATAAAGAGATGTGTTAGATATTGCTGTTGCTTTCAGATAAGCTACCTTTTATGAACAAGATTTTTTTCTTCAATTATTTTGTGGTTCAAGACCAATAGACCATTTGAACTGAAAACCTCTCTTTTCACAAACAACCAAAAATATATTTCTCCCATTCCCAATTCCTGCTCCCACACCTTTCACTCTTGTATAATCTTGTTTTTGATCAAGATTCCCCTCACCTTAATTAGCATATAACAAATTAAGTTCCTCTTTCATTGTAACAAAGAAGTGAGAGAATATTAATGTTAAAATGAGAATGAGAACTTCCTCCTCACATTTTATGAGTTTATGTAGGCTTATGTCTATTCATGACACTTTAATAAAATAATAGCATGATGCTGGCCAAAGAAGACAAATTAACCTAATTAAAATCTTACATCAGAAGTTACCTTCTATAATTTAATATTACAGTGCTGTGCTGTTATACAAGGTATTTATTATACTCTTCCAGTGCCCGGCTAGCTCAGTCGCTAGAGCATGAGACTCTTATTATACTCTTCCAGATCATAGAATTCTATTGTACTAATATATTTTTAAAACACCAAAACAACTTAAATCTATTGGCTGAGATAGCATTGATAATGTAGCCAAAGGAATTGGGAAGCTGAGAGATTAGAATCTTGAATTCCAGTTTCTGTACTGGCCCCATCCAAATGACTATAGATAAATTCCTCTCCCTTGTCCCACAATATATTGTTCAGTAAGCTCTACTGATTTTTGAATCTCTCTTCATTGTGTTTCCTCTTCCATCTCCCAGTGCTGTTGCTTTATTTCAAGCCTTCTGCCTTGAGTGGTGCAGTAGCATCCTAAATGATCCTCCTGCCTCTGGTCCCTCCTCATTCAAATTCATCTTATACAAAACAGAACAAGTCATATCTGTATTAGCATAAATCCCATCACTTCCCTCTCAATATAAACAACAACAAAAAAACACCAAAAACTCTTTACCATTCAGGGGATGAAAATTAAATTCCTTACTTAAGCCCTTGTTAATCTGACACCAACTTAACCTTATGCCTAACCAAGGAGTCTACCACATTATGCTGTGGCCACATTGAATTTTTCCATCTCTAATAATCCTATTTTTGTCCATGCCTCATTATATTTTCACAAGTAGATCTCTCGACTTGGAAGGTTCCTTCTATTCCATACCACCAGGACAACTCCGTTTTCTTTTAGACCCAATTAAAATATGATTTTCTTTGAGGTCTCCCTGTCTTTCTCAGGTACAAATAGCAACAACTTCCTCTCTGTTCAAACAGCACTTTGTATATAATATTTTTATTATAGCCTTTCCTAAATCACTTCCCTTGAAGGCACTAGCTACATACTTAGTATAGAATACGTATCAACAAGTGCTTATTAAATGAATAAATGCATGAATGACAACTTCACAAAGTCTCAATTTCTTAGTTTATCAATCTGGAAAAATTATTATAAGTGATTTGAAATATCCTATCTGGCTCTAACCATTCATGTCTATAGTAGTTAGACATATTAATTTAAATCAGATGTGAGATAATTTCTACTTTACGAACAACAGACCTGACTTTCTCAGTGTCACAAGAATATTGCACAGTATAGCATATACATGTAAAAAATACCTGGAAGTTTTTTTGTGAATTCTACAAGAATCTGTACATGACTGGTAGCCATTTCAGTTAAAATGAGAAAATTTTCTTCTGCACTGAATTCTTCTTTTAACTAAATTTTAAGAAGAAAAGCAAATGATTAATAAGTAGATAAAAGGATAACTCAAACACAAAATCATTATACTAAAGAATAAGATTTGGATAATAAAATTTAAGATCGAGCTTATATTTTTCAGTTCCTTGGAGAGCAATTACTATTACCAAGATAGATATGAAACGTCTGTTCTTTGTCTAATGCTGCTAAAAGTTTAAATGCATAACTTGAATTCTCAGCTCTAATTATTTCAAAGTAACAAATTCATATATAATTTATATAGAAAATATTAACTTTCAACCTATGCATTTTTAGATATTTGTACGTACAATTTTATTTGTTATTTCCTGAGGCATCCTCTGTTTGCTATACGAATCCATAATATAATGAAGAAGATTCTGTTGATCTGGGGTGAGTTCAGTTTTCTCCTACACTGGCAAAAAAATAAAAGGTATTAGGGAGGGTGGTTGTAATGTACTTTTCCTATATGCACATTCATCTGGAGTAAACTAATCTCAGAAATTATTGATAAAAGCCCTAAATATGGCAGGAAATATGCACTCTGATACAGTGTGCACTGTAATGGCTTACTCTGGGTCCTTGGTCAAGCATATCACAATTCACTAAATGGGTCCAAAATTGTTCATTTTTCTATTTGTAAAATAAGGATAACAAAATATTCATTTCATGTATATCTTGGGGATAAATAATAGTCTAGATTTGAACCCTATTAACCCCATTCATAGAGAAGTTCAGTGAAAGTTCAAGGTTTAGTCACTAAGGAAAAGTTCCCACATATAAAATAGAGAATCCAATTAAGGGCATTCATATAGGGCAGGAGTTGACAAACTATGGCCCATCTACCAAATCTACCTGACTCTACTGGAACACAACCACGTTCATTTGTTTATGTGTTATATACGCTACCTCTACACTAAAATAGCAGAGTTCAATAGTTGTCATAGAAACCTTGTAGCCAAAGCCTAAAATATCTGACCGTTTACAGAAAAAAAAAAAGTGTTTACCTAGCTCTGAAATAGAAAGTCATCAATCTGGACAATTCAGACACCAACTATCACTTTCTCCTTTACTAGCACATTTTGAAGAGTGTGGATAATTGTGTCAGCTCTTTGCTTCCTTATACCAAAAAGTGTTATTGATGAAGTACTATGGCAAAATAACACTTTGATATAAAATTATTTTTTTCTCAAATAAATGCAAAATACTATACTTGGAAAACTAAACGTGGATGAAGTTTTCCTTGTTAGTAGTACAATCAATATTAAGAAGAGTGTGACTTAAATAATCATGGATTTTTGTTTTCTCAACTAATGGCAAATTAAATTTCCTCCATATACCCTGTGGATTATCACAATGTGTTTAGTTAATCATCCAAGATGCTGTTCCTCTATTTTGTCTCAAGTTGTTCAAAGAACTTCTTGCATAAGAAATTTGAGCATAAGAAAATTGTGAATTCATTGGGAAAGGCTTCTCTCTGTTGTTCCACAGATGTGTATCCACTCAATTTTACCCATTGATAGGGACTAATCAGCAAACCTCTACTGAGTACATCTCCTTCGGACTGTAGGCCTCCCTTCTCAATGACAGGAAAAAGAAAAAGGTCATCAAAACTCAACCTGAAAAATCCATTCTATACACTGAACTAATTCTACTGGCAACCTCTTGGTAGTAGGAGTGGAATGGAGCCAGAGAAATGGAGAGCTTTCACTTTTTTACCTGATTTACTGCTATTATTTGAGTTTCTAGACCAAAGCAGGTATTACTTTCTTGATTAAAAAGAAAACTATTTAATACACAATTGAAATGAAATTCTGCTTGTGGCCTGTGGCTCTAATTTTAAAGCCTCCCAACCAGATCACTGATGTGGATAACAAAGGCAAAAGAAATATAGAAAAAATTAAATTTCCTTTGCAGCCCATTGACAAGTTCTTGGGACAGGCAAGGTGACCTTCCTCCAGGAACTCAACTGCCTCAATGTTAATACTTCACTAGAGGCAAAAGGCAACCTTTGCTTGACATTAGCCCGACCTCCAGGATCCTGTAAGTCTTCTTTAACATATAAAAATCCCTTTGGAAACTTCCTTTATCTCTACCCACCCCCAAAGATATATGTTAGCAATCAACCTCCAAGCATTTGCCCACTGATATACATCTGAAGGGTCTCATGACAAGGGTTTACTAGACAGTATAAATGACCCCTGGAGATCCTGGACACTTGCTTACAAATTCCTTAGAGACTAACCTTATCTCTAACCCTCTCCCAACTTGAAAGTGTATAATCAGTCATTTCTCATAATCCCCGTGCTGCTCTTTGTGCCCACAGGTCCTGTCCCATGCTTTAATAAAACCACCTTTTTTTGCACCAAAGATGTGCCAAGAGTTATTTGACTGTTCACTCCCAAGCTGCAACATTTCACATTAATCACTACATGCCAGAAGCTCAGCTCCTTCTGGCTTAGCCGACACCATTGCATGGTATTACCCTGCATGACTTAGTCGTCGAGGTCACTTGTCGCAAATCTCGACCTTCACTGTCTTCATTAATGGTCTGATCTGCATGCTGCTTCACATTTTTTCTTAGTCGTTTAGATTTACACTGAATTTCAGTTAACAAGCCTGACAAAATAAAAAACAGAGACTTCACCATGAAGTTCTAGTGGGTGCGTGGTCATGAGGCAGCTGATGTGTAGTCTGCTCACATCTGTGCAATTTGGCACAGAGCTAATTCTAGCCCTTTTGAATTTTAAGACTTGGACTTGAACAAGAAATTTATCCCTCTGTGAGTCTCACTTTCTTCACTTGTAAAACAGAAGTAATATCTACCTAAGAGTTTTGTGTAGATTAAGTATAATTGGGTCTTCTTTAAAAAAATGTACTTTATATAAAGAATTTGTAATACCAAAGCATTGTAGAAATGCAAGATATTCAGTAAATAAAAAGGGAACAACACCCTCCCTATTCCTAGTCTAGTGGACCCTGAAAGCTAGTGTTTCACAACTAATACTATTCTCATCCATGTTTATATAACTGTACCATAAAAAGCATATTCAGTTTCACATTAAACACACATAAGTAAACACGTGCTGTGTAAAACAAATGTCAACATCCTTCAGAGAAAATTTTTAAATCTTGTTAATTTTCAGAACTGTATAAATTATTGAGGACATAGAGATGAAAATAAGTCAAGGGGATTTTGAAATTTTCTTCTGAATAATTATGCAATATCATCATTAATTTACACTTGAGCTATAAAAAATAATGCAAAACAATCTTCCATAGTCCCATTTAACCTCCATATTCTCCAATGTTAATGAGAAATTCCAGGAATTTCTTTGTCCAGGGCATTTATTTTACAAGATCAGATGAAAGCTCTGCATCTGTTACTGGACAAGTTTGTGTTCATAAATAATATGATAGACTTCTATAAGTGGAGTGTTGAAAAATGTCCTCAGTGCTTCCATTGGAACAAGTTCATATTTAAGTGATGAGCAACATGAACCATCCAGTATCAAAGTAAGCGTTTCCATTGCAGGATTGGATTCCAGCAGTCATCCCTCTTGCAGTCTCTTGTTTCATATGCTAAGAGGAGATAGTGATCATCTACTATAAAACTTTCATCCACCAGAGCTGGATTATTTACACTGACCTATTTTTCCCCCTCATGCACACATTATTTCTCTGGGTCCATCCCAGTTGCTTGTACAGTTTGGGAACAATAGAATTGGAGTCACCTTCCAAAGTCTTTTCATTCCATGTGGCATTCCCTCCCTGAATGTTATCATCCCCTTGGTGACATTTGTTTGTCATTTGTTTTTTGAGGAGGAATGGGCCATATCTCAAAATCTGAGTGGTCTGTAGAATTTGCAGAATGAAAAATTAATACATTATATACTAGCATGCATTCCAAATTGATGAAGATTATGGTTCCTCACAAAGCCAGCAGTTAATACAGTGTCTCTTTATCAGATCAAAGGGCCAAATTATATTAAAACTCACAGTAGTTAATTTCCTGTGTAAACCTATACAAATTGGTTCAAAGCTGCACTAAGAGAAGAAGGACTACTAATAAAATGACTTGGTTTAAAACTCTATTTAGACAATTCAGAGGCAGTTATACTTTATAAAGCATTCTTAATCTTTCCCACAACTGTGAATGTTTATGCTAATTAAACAATAAGAAAGATATTAAATCACATTTGGAGAAAACTTTTAGACTGCTATCATTCTTGGAAGCTACTGTAGATTAATGCCACCTCACTCCACATATGATTCCTTGCAACAATGAATAACAAAAAACTGTGTCTTTCAGGTGAACAAAATGCTCTTTAGCTGACACTTTGGACAATTTCAGTGGTTCATTACCCTTTTCAAGAACTTTGATGGCTTAGTAAATCCCTTCTTTAATATGTGAAGTACCATTCTAATCATGTGAGTTACCTGCCATCTGCCTCCTTAGATTTTTAGTGGAATTTAATTGCTTGATGTGAATACCTGTATACATACATTCAGCCAACATTCCCATCTCTTTGCATTTCCTTAGGCGACACTCTTGGCACTTTCTTCGCATGTACATGTCCATCACACAGTTGCCCCCATTTTTACACTTGTACACGGCATTTTTGGTAATGCTTCTCCTGAAGAAACCTGTGAAAGAAACACAGAAAGGAATAAAAACTATCCTAACAACTTCCACTCAGAAAAACATATTAGGATTAAGGGATGCCAGAGCATTTTCTCAGGAACCCCCGGCAAACACCCAGGCAATCTTCAGGTGGACTGGTGACAGATAACTTCAACTGCACTGTGACTTCCAGAAGCCTGCTCTTTTCAATCTCTATCTCAAAGATAAAGACATGTTTGAACTGTAGCCTCTCTTAGAGAAAATCTTGCTTTTTTTTTTTTTTAAGAATGGTTACTTTCATTACATCTTTACCGGAAGACCATTGTGTTCCAGTGAGCTCTAGATGCTGGTGGTCCGAAGGTGAGTAAGTCATCCCTGCCCTCTTTGAGTTTACAGCCTAGAGGAGGGCAAAGCCATGCAACCAATCAAACAAGTGAAATTAGGTGTTCCTGGTCTGTGCTGGGACAGAAGAGGGAGGGAGAATGGTCGGTTCTGGGTGAAGAGATCAGACTTGGAAGCAAGTGTTGTGCTAATCCTTGCAAAACAAGTTGCTGTTTACCAGGCAGACTGGGAGAGGTCACATTCAAGGTTTCAGTTCAGTTCTTAACATGCCCAGCCTGGTGCAGTAATACAAATGCCAACCTTGATTTAAAAGCAAACATCTCCCCTGAGATGGTGGAGCCACCATTGCCAGCCTGCAACAGTTAAGCTGCAGGTGGAGAGGGAACACAAACGCCTTTCTTTCAGTTTCTTTTTTCTCCCACTTTCTACTTTTACTCTTCATCCTCCACCTGGCTAACCATAATTTCTGACACTTCCAGACTCAAGGTGGAGTGTGAATAAGGAGAGGATTTGGGGAGGCATGGGAAGAAGTGACAGGAAAGTGCTTACTTGGTTGGCTTGTGCCCCGCAAGTTTCTGAAATTGACTCCTTCTCTCTTGGAGTTGGGTTCTTTAGAGAATGCCCACCACTGGGATCCATTCCTTTGCAAGTCCTCAATGAGGACAAGTACATCTCTATTCTAGCCCGGGGCTTCTATCTCCTTCTTCCGCATGTAGGAATTTGGCAATTCACCACCATCCTCTGTACTCTGGGTCCCTCCATGTTGCCTTCTTGTCATGAGCTGATGATAATGACCCCGTGCCAGCTTTTTTTGGTCCAGCAAACTGCTGGAAGGAGAAATCTCTCCCACTTACCCATAAGCAGTCAGCCACCATACCTCCTGCCCTTTCATCTTCTCAGGTGAAAGTCAGATGCCAGTCTCCTGTGTCCCTCAGCCGTAAGAGATACATATCAATCTCCTCAAGGGATCCTGTTGAAGACCCTTTCATTGCGCCTGGGGCAGGAGGGCCTCCTTACTGTATAGATTACACCTGAGAAGGGTGGGACACGTTCTCCTAATTCTAACAAAAGTACCATACTTTCAGTGGTGGTCCCCAAGGCAGACATCTGTATCCCATCTGCCCACTCCTTTGCAGTAGGGAATGGGATCTATAGCACACTAGTCACATGCTCCAAAATCTTTGAAGACTATACTCTAGAATTTCCAACTCCTGCACACTTCATACCTCAAACTAGGTGAGGTTTTAACCATTTCTTGACTACTGACTACAAGATGGGCTCACTTTGGATGTAGCAACTAGTGCCAAAACTGAGATAGCAGGAGTCTTTCCTATTTTAACAGCCTGTCAGAATAATAGCTAACATTTATTAAGCACTCACTAGCTTTTGTTCTATTTCACCTGTATTTAGTTATTTAAACTCCATATCAATTTTATGATGAAGATAATATTATATGTCCCCATATTACAGCATGTGGGGAAAACGCACAGAGAAATTAAGCATTTTGGCCATTATCACATGGTTAATAAGTGGATTAGGAGGATTCAAACCCAGGCAGTCATGGACCAAAGGCCACACTCCCAACCACTATATCATAATTGTCTCCCTTAGGTTACAAGAGAATAGAATAACAATATTAAGTACCTACCACCTGAAAGCTACATTCTCTAACCTGGGAGACGTTCAGATAAATAAGACAACCCTTGTCCTCAGAGTTTCCAACTTAGAAGACAGAGAAGAAGTACATTTACAGCATAATATAAGATAGAGTGATAGGATAGTTAATTAAGTAATAAATAATTGGAATGTAGATGAAAAAGCGATCATTTCAAGGCCACATTATATGCTTTTGAACATACTGTCACATTCAGAGGAGGCAGCAATTCCATCACAGACATGGAGATTTGTATATTTGTTATGACAATTTTTCCTGCAGAAGGCAATAAAAATTTGTTCTAGTAAAATAAATATGACAATGTCTCAACACCTAGAAATCAAGTGTCTTGAGAGGAAAAGGCATTATAGGGTCTAGGAATGGCCCTGATTAATTCCACGTAGGGGAAATCAGAGAATTCAGGAAGGAGTAGAATTTGAGCTGGATGTTGAAGAATAAGTAGAGTTTTGAAACATGGACTGTGAGGGAGGAAGCACAGTCTGGGAAATGAGAAAAGGCAACAAGTTATGGAAATTCCAGGGAAGAGTGAATAGTCTATTTTGGTGGAAGGGTAGAATGAAGGGAGAATTAGTGAGAGGTGGGTGAGGGCATGTAGTGGGACAGAATATAAATGCCCTTCAATGCCACAATTGAGTCTTTACCGTGCAGAAAGAGAGAAACCATTAGAGGATTTTGGAAGAAGAGGGTGTGACCTAACCTCCATGTTGGGAAGAATCCTTTGTGCAAGGTGAAGAAAAGTGGACCAGCCCAGAGGTTATTAGTGCCTGAACTGGCTGGAGGGTGAGAAAAGAGAAGAGGAAAGGGAGGAACTCATGACTTGGTAACTAACTCAACATAAAAACAGAAGCAGAAGGAAAAGTTAGAGATAGCAAGGTTAAAAAAAAGTCATAGACTTGCTTGTGAAATTGTCAGCTGGTGTAACTTTCAGTAGGAAAGATCTTACCATTTTCCTAAATGTCAAATCCAACCACACAAAGTCTAAAAAAAGATTTTGTGCTTCAGATCAACATTGATATTGGGAGTGCAAATACCAAAGCATGTATTTTAAAAGAGACTCTAGGCAAAGGAAGGAAGGAAGGAAGGAAGGAAGGAAGGAAGGAAGGAAGGAAGGAAGGAAGGAAGGAA